ATTCGTAATTTTGATTGGGTGGGAGGATCTCGGAAGTGATCTGCAATTTGTGTAACGATGACGGTCGCTCCTGTTCCCTGGTTGGGCAAATTTATATCACCCGGCCAAAATTATTCTCTTAATTTTACCAAATTTAGTATGTTACACTGCATTAAAATTAAAAATATAACAAAATATCGATTTTCCTATAATTTGACCTAAAAATATCTTTAAATAAATCAATATTTTTCTGTATCCCTACCGTAGATTTGGCGGATATCAGATCGGATTAACACGTGACCACACCCTCGATTGTTGGTAACGCTGGATTGGCTCCCTATCTGGGGTATGGCATATCGTTTGAAGCAAAATATATTATATATAAACAGTATATATCGATATATACATAGGATTCCCATCGCTTAAGACAATTTAATGATTTGATAAAACAATAAACATTTACATTACTGCCAGTTGTGTGGATTGAACACACGACCTTCAGATATCACTTTAAACTTCAGTCTGACGCTCTCCCAACTGAGCTAAACTGGCATCATATAATAATTTTAACTTTTATTAAATTATATTTATATTAACGTTAAGAAATTAAAAGACAATGATAATAATACGACAGGGCAAAACCTGAGTTGCGAAATAGTGAAATCCGCTATGATCATCACACAAGGGTGAAATCCGCTTATATAATAAAACGGGCAGTGTTGCCAATTTTATCGGCCAAACCAAGTTTTTTTTGGTCGTTTCGGCCAATGGCTGGCCAAAAAACATATAAACTTGGTTGAATTGGCCGTTTTTTGGCCGGCCAAAATTTTGTTTGGCCGACAAAATTGCCATCACTGAAAACGGGGATTTCACCCTAACCCGATCTACAAAGCGGGTTTACCTTACCCTAGGGTTGTTAATGGAGTACTCCAGACTATAATAAAACATATAACCCGCTTCTGGAGTGCTCCGGAGTGGGTTATATGTTTTATTATTAACTGGAGCACTCCATTAACAACCCTACCTTACCCCCTTGCCCTAGTTATTTTTTAGGATTTATAAAGTTTCGTGAACGTTTCCCTATCGTTATGTAGCATAGATAAATATGTAGTAACTCACCGGATAGATTAGCGGAGCAACCAAAATTCAGCCGATCGACCAAACTTTAGGGCCGGAATAGGCCCGGAGCTAGCCGTAACCAAACAATAATAATACGACAGCAAAATTATCATCTGACCAGCTTTACTTAGTACGTACGTACGTACGTACATACATGGGCTACTATCAGTGATGTAAATTGGATCCGCGCAGTAGGCGCAGCGCAGCGTACGTACGTACGTACATAGATTTAAATTTGCGCATATATCAGCGCTCTTCATATAAGGTAGAAGGAGGTATTCTGGCGGATGTAAATCTATCAAGATTTGCTTATGATTAAACACTACGAATTACAAATTTTACTTCGATATATCATAATTATTCGTTTATTAAATTATGTAGACTTGTGTTTGCACGACTTTTATTAATGCGAAGTAACTTCAATGGTTGGGAGGGTAAAGTGGCGGATCGACAGATTAACATAATATTAACTATAAATGGGTACATCTAAAGCTGTGTCCAGTCATATGTTTTTGACTATTTGATAAAAATTAGGGTAAGGGTTGGTTGGGGTTAAGGTTAGGGCATGTCCTATAGTAAAATTGTCCTCCGGATATGGTATAGACACTTGTTTCTTGTATTTTTTGCGGTTTTCAGTTTTTGTCTCTTCGACCAAAAAAACAACTTTATTGGCGCTATATCACGTGATTGGAAACGGCTTTAAACGACATATAAATAGAAATAATTATCAGTATATGCATTATGACAATCTTCCACTACGTATACGTATCGCTCGCTCCAGAGTTTTGTACAATTATTTTTACAATCTATTAGTCAGAATCGAGTGTTTTTTATATTATTCAATTCGTCTTGACGAGACGAATCGAATGGTATAAGAATCATTAGACTCCAGTTGTTATCCGCCACATTACCCACCCTCGCCAGAATACCCCCTACCTTATATAATGCGTGTATAAGTTTTTTGAATTTATAACACTGGCTATATTAGAAAATTTGAAATTTATCATTACCGGCCTATTTCGACCCTAAATTTTGGTCGATCTGCTAAAAAACAATTTTGATGCAGAACTTAAACACGGAAAATTTTAATAATCAATGATATAAAATTTTCTAAGTTCAAGTTCAGTACAGTGTTTCGCACAGACCAGTTTTAAGGATCCGAACCCGAACCGAAAAATCGATCGAAAATGGACCCGCTGCATAGGTCCAGAACCAATCAAATTGTAATATCATTGTGTAAAAACAACAATGGCGAAAACCCTAGATGTAGCTAACCCAAAATTTTACTATGTAGCTAACCCAAAATTTTATTGACAACTACCTTCCGGCCTCTAAGTAAAAATGCTATAAGCTGACCCATTAAAACCAAATCTAGTTCTTTTTTATCTAGGCTACGAAATTGCATATGTCGTTCAAAAAATCGTTTAAATCCAACTTTTTCAAAACATTGATAGGTATTTCTCATTCGGCATTCGCAATTTTTGGATTGAAAAAATATCCATAGATCTTGTGCAACTTCTTGTACTAACTCGTTATCTTCATATTCACTTAAATCTAGCTGCTCTAAAGACATAGGTAATGGAAAATTTTCATTTTCCTTATTTTCGCTTAAAGACATTATAAAAATCTTAAAGACGACGAATAAACATGATAAACACGTGATCAAATTATAAACATGTGATTAAATTATTGATTAATTTTATATCAAATGATTGGATGTCTAAAAATAAACCAAAAATTCAGGGGAAAAAAAACAACAGAAATTTAGGTAACACAAACTATAATCGTCATTTTCTCAAAATAGAAACCCCCCTTCAAAGGGCTGTTTTCCTAGTCCATGACCCATATTTGTACTTTAAGTGTAACAAAAACATGCATGCTTACGCGTTTGTGTTATATGATGATAGTCATGTGCTCCGGA